AATGACTGAAACCCAGGAATTAATTTGATTTGGAATTGAAACACAGTCAGGAAAGTATATACAATTAATGCACAACTTAGAAGTGAAACTTTTATTGATTGGCGATTTATCTTAATGCATCGGCAGTCATTGCAATCACCTTGTATACTAACGAATCTCACAGATTTGTAAAAGCGATAAATATCCTAGTTTTAGCGATCGGCCAAGCTTAAAATAGTTAAGGTGCGTTTCTCGGTTATTGGCAATTTTTGCGGTAAATATTGAAACACTTAGCGGCGAGTAAACACACTAAAAACACCTGGGATTAACCGACTAATTTGAGCCTGATGTTAACAGGGTTTATTGGCATCTATCTAGAATTCAACCAGTTAAAACTATCTACAGCTGCAAAGATTTTTGCGAATTTTGCCCCAAACCTCAAAACAATCAACACAGTCACCGCCAAAAGGCCCAGATGTAATATAAAATTTACCCTGCCGTTTGCATTTACCAAACACAAGTTGATTTAATTCTGCTGCGATAAATGGCTTTTAATTTGACTATGTAACATGCGTTTTGCTTGAACAGCCGATAGTGAATAATTTCAATCGGTAATTAGCTTAAAACTAATTGTTGTTGCAGATGCAAAGCCATCCCAGAGGGGAATGAATGTTTTCGAGACCTTCTAGGAGGTTTTGCGTCTGAATATTTAACACCGGGCATAAATATTAAGTGGTCGATCGAAGCATTCCCATTTCTCTTAAGGGGCCGCTTAATGCTAAACCCCATTTGGGTTCTCAGTTAACTATTCTGTAGCTTTTTTCCAAATCGCATAAAGTGGCCGGCCGTGCTGAATATTACATAAAATTGAGCCGCACACGATCAAGACAGACACGGTCGATGTTTAACCAGAGATGTTCGTTAATAATTAGCGGAAATTTTGAATGGTGCCAAAACCAAAATAACTCGAAAATGCCCGAAATACGAGTCTGAGGGATTTGCTTGTTGCCTGCCTGATTTATTAGGGAAATGTTGACGTAATCGGAACGTGAAGATAAATTGCTTAATTATTGCCCTTAATCGCCAGGAGTCAAATGTTGAGGCAAACTGGTGAGTTTTTGGGGCTTTTAGGTCTAGGCGGAAAAGAATTTCCTCCCGGCGTTTTGCAAGTACTACATATTAATCAATTTTTATCTTTCTTTTATGAAACTCTCTATTTCTGTAACTTTTGGTTCTGAAAGTCTGGCAGACTACTTGATCATCCTGCATTTGCAGAGCTAAACTGTGCCAAATCTCTTTCTCTTCGGCTAAGGTGCAGAAACGTTCCTGAAACTAGGCGATTATGAGGACTGAAGTCGAACATTCTATAGATTCATCGGGTGACGTTATATGAGCGATTTCTTCATTTTCCATAAATCAACCACAAAGTCCAGTTCCTCAAGTCAAATGCCTAATCAGGCGGCACAATAGCATGTTCAACCGCTTAAAACTTGTGAATTCTACCTGAAGTCTTTGTTCCTGTTGCGAAAGTCCCCGTTCATCCAGATGAGCCCCACTAAAACATGAAACGTAATAAACTCGGTTAAAAGTCTTAAAGTACACGACTTTGCTTTAGAATGGCTTTGGCGGAAAAAGGGACAACAACTGGAAAATGTTGGTAGAGGACTTTCGGCCGCTATCTTAACACAAAAGAGCCTGAGACCTTTGAAGCTTCGCGTGCAAGCTGAAAAAGGGGCCCGCCCAACTAATCGGATTTCGGCTGCAAAACTGCTTGACAATTCCCAGGAGATTTTCCAAAATTGCCGGCATTTTTGTTGAATTGTTCGCGGCATTAAACTGCAATCTGCCTCCGTGCGGATTAGAAACTTTTGGTTTTTCCTTTAATCCTGCTTAGCCACACTTCGGAATGCTCTAAAGGCCCTTTTAGCCCTGTTATCTGAAACACACCATGCCGGTTTCAAGGAGAAAATCAACCGATGGATCGCGTATTCTTCTTACAGTAAAAGCCATCACCAATTAAGCACGCTCTTTGCCAGAAGCACTTTAGACTGTTGTGAAAGCTATAAGTTACCAATTTAATTTTCCGCCTCTTAAAACCCTTTTACCGAGCGGATTTTATCGGAAAGCAGCGTGAAAGCTGCTCATGCCACCAAACACAGCATTTTTGAATCGTTTATACGGAGCGTCGAGCGCGAACGGTTACAGCGGAGCAAACCACCTCTGAAGATGGGAACCACTCGTGCTTGCGAAACGTCCGGAAACATTTACCACTCCGGCTTAAAAGCCCGAAAAAGTATCATCATTTAATCAATTGTAAATAAGCAGGAGTTATTTGAATTATCCGGCCAAAATGTAGGCATCAACTCACTCACATTGCAATACTTTCCTTCTGCGACTTCCTCAAGTTATTTTCGGAAGAATGCCCAATAATTCCTGCTGTGTTTACTCTAACTTGAACGCGACTCCCGTAGAGAGTTTTCTGTAAAGCCCTAGTTTAACATAAATATTTGAATATATAAGTCCCTTATTCGACAAAATATTTAGATCCCAGCTGTTACCAAACTTTATGTGCTTGAGGGATTGTGTGGCAGGATTTTTCTACGCAAACAACCGGCAAAAACGGGAAAAGCAACAAAGTCGATTGAATTTGAGGAACAATCAAGATTTTATATCAATTGGAACTATGTATTAACCAAATCAAATATATTTTTTTAATTGTGAAATTAATTTTCAACAATTGGAATTGGCTGAATGATTAACAGACGAGGGGTTTTTATATAAATAAAAAGCTCGAAAAACTTTTTCAGGATTTTGGGTTTGAGAGACGAGCGGAATGGCAAAAGGATTATTCTGTAAAGCCATTTAGTATGCGGATTAAACACTTGCCCTTCGGCCTGGGAAGCTCTTAAAGGTTGAAAAATCTTGAAAATTTGGCTAGTCGTATGAACCACATTGCCAGAGAATATAAAAGCTGATTATTTTCCTTATGAATAGTAAAACTAGAAAAGCTTTGTCTTTCCACTACTTGGGTTAAAGGAAAAAATTTAACGCGTCCCATTCAAGGGAGTTTTGACTGATTAATTAGTTAATTTGCTAACCAAGTTTCACCCAATCATCCACCGTACTTAATGGTGATGTTTCCATCCACTTCGCGAACGTAGTTGGCATTCTGCAAGATTAATTTTGATGGCATATTAAATGCCATTCCACTTGGCCATAGTTGAATGGATTCCACGTTCATATGGGGGATTACTCGGTTAATTCCTGACCGGAAATATGGATCACCCCCCTACTGCATTGGCATTATCTGAATTTTCTTCGGGTCACTCAAAAACGGTTTTCCCCGAGTTAAATTGCCTGCAACTTCAAGTAGTGCATTCCCTAACTTTCCCATTGGGATCATTTTGTTTAGTTAGCATCAACATGAAATAATATTCCATAAATAAGTGAGTTTTCCATTGAATGAAAATTGCAATGCGAAAGTGAATCCACTTTATCATCGCTCGTATTGGCTTTTAGGAGCCCCGACAAAAACCATACGGGAGACCATTGCCGAACCCCTAAGTGATTCCCAAGATGTTTGAGTTCATAATGGGAAACTAAAGGCGCCAGGAGATAAATAAGACGTGAAAAATTATGGAGATAATTCTGGGCCGCGCTTCAGACTGAAAGCAATTTCCTCCCTTCTCAACTCAGATACGTCTTATTTTGGAACCCGTCGGTTTCTTCAAGATGCACGAAAACAATATGTGTCAGGGCGCGGGTTTTTCCTGTTTAAAACGCGAAAGTTTCATTGGAAAATGCTAACTGTTTGCGCAAAACTCGCTAATGGAAAAAAATGTCCGAACAACTTTATCTTCGACCTGGTTTTCATTTTATCTTTAAATTAGCTAAACGGTTGGTTTCATATGTAATCTTTAAAATTATTTGTTTTTTTTGTATGACTGGAAAAACTCACCAGTTTCGATTACTGTTAAAGCTTGATGGAGAATTTGCTTTCCAGTTTCTGACTGTTTCGACTAAAACCCTTTTTAACGGTCGTTTGCCTCTAAGGTCAAGGTACGGAAAGTGTAAGTTCCAGGTGGAGTTTTTCCCTATAACCGAATTTCCCCACGCTATAATGTTCCATATATTTCCAGTACTTATTATGGAAAAATAAGTATACATCCATCATAACATTCTACTTAGAAAGTGAAATCGATAGTGGCAACTCAATATTTAATGGACTTTCGTTTGAGGTGAGCTGACGGTTGTAGTTGACCTGGATTTTCACTCTTTCCAGTTCTAATTGATATACTTTGTTCTCTATTGCCTGTTACTTTTGTTCTTTTGAACCAATTGATTCGTTGCCGTCGACCAATCAATGCACATTGAAAGTTGAAAAAATCCGTTTGTAACCTTCGCGTGTTACTGAACTTGTTTCCAGCCGGAAGGTTGATTTAAATTACTAAACAGTCTTAATGACTCGAAATACTAATGCAATTAATACAGTGTAAACAGTAAAGACACTCCAAAGGCCTCCAACTCTTTTGTCTATCGCCAAACGACCGAAAGCTCGTTTGTTTGGTGATTTTGCATTTTCCAGTTGCTCTTTTGTCGGTAACTGTTAACGAGGAAACGGAAATACTGCCAGTAGGTTGAACATTTAAGTACAATTTTGCTTAAGAAATAACGCACCTTTCTTTGTGCTAGTTGAGGAACCTGAGGAAAACTACAGTTTTCCGCGTAATTTATTCAAGCAACTAGGAAGGAGCTTTGATGCCCCAGGGGGTTTGAGCGGACAATTTTAATGCAAATTATTCCAAGAAAAGCCTTCTGTATGACGCAGTATTCGAATAGGAGAAAACAGGGAGAATAGGAGAAAGTTCTCATCAGTTAAGGAGGATTTAAAGTGATAATAAAATTGTCTAGACCGCGAAAACAGCGACTGGTTTTTAGCGATTTGGGGAAGCTTTTGTGAAATTTCACATACTTTGCATTGGCAAATTTTGACGAGAGAGTTCTAAATCTTGGAATTATAATTTTGCTAAAAATCAGTTCAGAATGTTAAGGGATTTAGTGACAAGCTGAACAAATTTTGGGGTTTTTTTTGGGGAAAAGCAAATCATTTTTCAAAAGAAGATTTTTTTGGAACATTAGCAAAGTCAGAATAAAATTGCTGCAAGGATTTTGCGCTCAAAATGCCAATAACTCACTCCAAAACGTAAATTTTCCAAAATCAGCGTCATTTTCAAACAAAATTCTCTAAAAAAAGTAGCCCTACGACTGCGCCAAGCAGCCCCATCAATCAAACACTGAGTTCAATGCGCAAATTGAACAATCTGCTAGTTTAGAGGGTTTTTACCATAGATTAACTAAGTTTTTACGGTTTTTACGTTCACACCAGATCGAGAACCAACACAGTCCGATTTATTTGGCCGATTAGTGCATTTGAAAACCGACGAAGTTCCTTCTTTTTTTAGACTCAGCAATTCTAAAACCATGATTATCTTCGTCTTAAACAGCCGTGGAATCGTATTGAGATTAATGAGCAGACTTCAAAGATATATGATGTAAATATAATTGCTATAAAAGCATTTTAAAGACTTCCATGTCGGCAACAGTTCGGGTTGAGCACAATACATTAAACTGTCGTGTATTTAACGGAACAAAAAAAAACATATTTTTGGCCAAACATCATGAAACGCTTTTGTTCAAACGGCCAAGCTTTCGAAGCAAACCTTTCGCTTTCTTGGGACACTCGCTTCCTTTTGAAAGCGGCGAATTATTAAACCAACGTAATTCGATTTCGTTTGGTATGCTTTCTCTTTTTGATATAATGGATTCGCCGAAAAGAAAATTAGGCTCTTTGTAAATTTTCGCCCACGGAAAGCGTCAAATTGTCCTAAACTTTACTGCCAGAAACTCGATTAGCACGAGATAAAATTAGAAAGTAACTAGTTTTTTTTAATAGTATTTTCCAGCTTTTTGTTGTAATCAGTGCGTAAATCTCCGCATCACATAAACACGGTGTCTTTTGCTAAAACCATCGAGTCTAAATTATGTTGCGCAAGTTCAGAGGACGTAAATATTTATACACTTAAATTTGTCCATAAACACGTTGATAGACCGAAGATTCTTCAAAGAACTCAATTTTATATTGCCGATAAAGTTCTATTGGTGCTTGCTTTTTGTTATTGTCACTGATTGACCAGGACAGAATCATTAACTGCTCGAGCCCTGCAAGAGTTTGATGTTAATTATTTAACAGTACAGATTGTCTCAATGATAGAGTAAAATACGCTTAACTGGTAATATTTAAATAACAGAAATTAATTGAAATTTGCATAAAAATTTAAAAACTCGGATGCTACATTAGGGAAAAAATGTTTCGGCGCTGCAACTCTGTGTAATTCTGAGGTTTAGTAGAATTTTCAGCAAATAACACCGGTTAAGCGTTCTTTAAGCAACGTTTCCCAAATTGGCTGGAAAAGTTGCGTTAGGGAAAACCACTTTGCAGGCTGATGCAGGAACGACAACCTTGTCGATTTTCAGCTGTAAAGAAACTCGGCCAACTGCAGTTCATTCAACCAAAGCATTCGGTACCTTTTTAAAACAACTGGCAGGTAAATAAAAAACAGTTACACAACACCAAAAACAACTTACAAGTTTCGCCAGTTAGTCGACACACGACGGCACTCGGACTTTCGCAAACTTTTAGCGCATTGTTTCGCAGTTTTTTCAAAGTTGGCTGGAAACAAAGCGGGAAACGGCAACAGTGCGAGGCCAACGCAGATTTCAAAGTCGCGCAATGTTTACCAGGGAACTAACTGTTCACCCTGTAGATCTCGACGCCCCGCAGAAAAGCCTGAAAGCGCGTCGCGACGGATTTTCCAAAACTAACGGGAAATTTTCAATGCGCGTTTCTATCATACGTTACCCCCACCAGAATGTCGGCGACGTCGCCCCCACTCAACCCGTTTCCCCGTTGTTATGGAAACGACGCCGACGTCCTTTGTTCCCGTTTGAAGTGTTGGGACAGCGTCCGGGCGGAAGCATCCTAGTTTATCAATCGGAGGAAAAATTGCTCTCATTTACTACTATAGTTTGTCCCAAACTTTTTGACAGTGACGCAATCATTGTCGGTCTTTTTCTATTGCTGGTCCAACGAGTGAGACGGAAATTTAATTACGTATGTCTTTCATCGAATTGTTACGTTTCGCGGAAGATTGCAGGAATTTTAAAATTACTGATTTGATTTCTTGGGGAGTGTTGGCAGGCTCAGTGAATTTTTCCAAGTTTTCGTTTCAATTTTTAGATAATCAGTACTTTTGAATCACCGGGAACAAACGCGCAAGCTGGCAAGCACGCAATATGATTGAAATTTTCGAAGCAATTTGCGACCTGAGTAAATTTCCGGTTGGCGTCTCAAATAAGGACGTCACTGCCAAATAGTTTGGGCCAAACTGTGCGCAAGATTCGTCCAATTTCAGATTTTCAATTTTTTTCTCAAATATTTCACCAATTTTTTGCTCGTATCTTTGAAACAAATTGAACCAGCGCACCGGTTTCTTCACCGCTGGATAGCGCACTAAATGGCACATTTACGAAGTGAAGCAACGCTTGAGAAAGATGGTAGTTTTTACAAAATTTTAGGAAAAACACTACTTTGCGCGGTTGTTTTTTAATATGCAAAATCGACTAAAATTACGACACATTTTCCTGCGTCTCTGAAGAACCATTTGAAGTCCTGAAATTGTTTTCCGACCGTTGAATAGAGGATTCCAATTTCCACTCAGCTAAAGGAAAAACACAGAATTTGAAGATCAGAGATTTAGGTACTTACAAAATTTTACCAAAATTTCGTGTTTTCTGCTCCTTTTTTGTCATTTCTCCCAAACAGGTTGAGCTAGAGCGAGTAGAGAACTAAATGTTGGTTTTTCTGAAGCACACTGCTTGTAAATCGTTAGTCGTTCTCTCAAAAGCGTTTAAAATTTCAAAAAAATGCCAATTTTGCGCGGTTTTTTCCAAATTGCGAAATCAGCTCAAACATGACGCCGCATTTTTCGCTGCTTCTCAAGAACAATTTGAGCTACGCATTTGGGAGTGCAAGATTAGACTAAAATTTTGTGTTTTTCGCCACCTTTTTGCTCATTTGCCAGGAACAGACAAATCAAGAGCGCTCCTTGAACGTTTCGCTTCCTTCGGAAGCCATTCTCAGCCCAAACTGTCTGAAATGCTTCAAAATCACACAGTAGCTTCCATCAATTCTGCAACTCCCCATAATCCTACATAATCAATCAAAAACAGTTTTGCCACAAATCTAACGCCTTCCAGCTCCGGAACCGTGAAAAGACACAATTTTTATTATATCAAAAATGTCAGGTTTATTTTCGGTTTTTTCTCTTAGAATCAGAAACTCAGAAATTGAGTAATGGCAAACAAGAAGTGCTTGATCGATCTGCTGAAAGCTTTGTCTTGTGTCTTATTTATTTAGCGCGTTGGCTAGAGTTCCCTCGGCTACACCATTTAAAGCCCATATAAGAAACTGGGTTAGTAGCTCAAATCCTGCGAATGTTTTACGAGGAATATTACACAAAATAACACATAAAACTGCATGTAAAAACCCGCTCTAGTTGGAGGGCGATTTCTGTGAAAGTCTTACTACTTCATGTTATCAGAAAAGTAGGGCAAAATTCCACAGTTGAGTCAATTGGTGAACATTTCTGTTCCAGTCCCGTTGAAAAACCTCCTTTGGATATATTGACTAAAAAAGTTTTTGTTTCAAACGAATTCATTTAAAGTGAAGTTTGATTTGTTGGTTCTATCGGCCTTTCCCGCAAAGAGGCTTTTGATAAACCGAGACAAAATCTAATAATTTATTGCTGCCGATAGTCGGAAAAGAGCCTACGCAAAACGAGCTCGGTAATGAGATAAAAGTTGCGGAATGTCGCTTTTTCAAAGCCGCTTAAGCGATTATATCTACGTATGTTCTTTGTGAAAAAAATCAGTTTTTTGCCGATAATTGGGCATTAGTCATTAGTATCGAGATATTTCAATTAAAAAACTTTCTAGTTTACCTAACAAATTATTGGAAGTATCCACTACAGATTGCGTTGAGATTCTGTATATATTGATATTTTGCAATACTTATAGATTTTGTTCTTTTTTTCGCTTGTTCAAGTTGTCACCTTTGTTACTTGAGAAAATGGCATTTTGAAAGCAGATTTTGAAAAGCCATTTAATCAAACACAAAAAGTTGCTCCTACTCTGAACTGCTAATTTGAGGCGTTTCAGAAGAAAAATGCATTTTAGGGTGAAAACCTTGGTTTCAGTTGCCAATTTTTTACTCATGGTTTGATCCGTAAAATGCGATTTTCCCTTAAACGACCCACATTAACGATTTTGACTAAGACAATTTTTTATATAGAAAACCAATGCCCTCGAATATACGCTTTAGAAGAAAAACAATCTCATTTAGAACCAAATCCTAGAAGTTAATTTTTCATTCATTTCATTATGGTGCAAAATCTAAAAAACCGCTATAAATTAAATATTTCTACATTGAATTGATTATACATACTTGAAAAAAATCTGTGAAAATTCGAAATTAGCACTTAAAATCCCCAAACGTTACACAACAACGTCCTGTGGAAAATTGTCTTGAATTTTTTCATTTAGAACCTCAGACTAACTTAACATCCAGTTGATAAAACCAGCAAGAAAAGCAATTTTAAAAGAAAAAATATAATTTCAGTAACAAAATCTTTTGCAAAGTCGAAACAGCGAACGCAAAATTGAGCTTGGAGGGACGCGAAAAGAGAAAAAACCATTTCGGATAATACAAAGCAAACAGCCTAGAGAAAGGCGTAAAGTAATGGATCCAAGTTTCTCCTCCGGCCACTCTAAGCGTCATCAATGGGGAAAGCGATAAGAAGTGGGATCAAATACGCCCAATTTATTTGCGTGCGCTGAATTCCCAATCGGGCAAGTTCTCATTTTTCCATAGTTGAGTTTCCATGCGGCTAAAATCTAGTTTTCCTTCATGCAATTAAATCGCAAATATGCAACCTCAAACTTGCAGAGGCACAACTTGTAAATTATAATTTGCATACTCGTTCAGCAACCATGTTAACCGGAAGTAATGCCCTTAAGGGCACTATAATGTATGTGACAAAACTAATTATTTCCGTATAAAATCTGCTGTAGTGAAATGATACTGCGAATGATTTGCCTCGGCCAGCCTGCCAGTTTCACTGCTGATTTGAATAAAATCTAATTGAGTAATGTGGAATTATTTTCGCTGTTACTGATAAATATTTATCAAAATCTCCAGTGGAGCAAGTTTTTAATTACCTGCTGTGTTTGTTTTTGTGATTGATTTGTTGTTAATTGGAAAGTTCGATTCCGACCGCTGTTGTTCGATGGACTTTGTTGGCAACGATAGGATTTACAAAACTTTTCTGGCATAAAACAGACTAGCATTTTATGTAAAGGAGTTTCAAACTTCTGTTTTTTTCTGATTTTATGAGTTAATAATTTTTTATTTTTGTATGTATTACGGTTTATTTATGTTTTTTTCTCATAGTAACGATCTCAAGGGAAGGCAATGGAATTAAACAGATTTTCCATTCAGTAACGTAGCCAGCATCGGTTTTCTCTCTCGCACGCGTAGCGGTGTATGGTAGAAGCCAGATGTCCGACCGGTTGCTACGTTCCAACTTGATACCTTTACGGCTAAAAATTATATCGGTTTGGAGCGAAACTATATTTTTTTTTTTTTTTTTGAGGGCAAACGAGGACATAACTGAGGATGCTAAAATCAGAACACTGAAAATTGCGCGATTTTTCAAGCAATCACCGCAAAAGGCTGGAAATGTTCGTCAATCTAATTGCGCAAACCTACATAAAACGCCTTGGAACACAATTAAAACTTTCTTTTTCTGGTGGGTTCAGGTGCTGCGTGACTAATTAACCTCCTTAGGTACTCTAAAACTAATCTGAAGCTTTCAACGATGCACCCTCTCACCTGATGAATAGCTGTTGGAGTGTATAGGAGGAATTTTGGGATGGTAATTTTTCATTACAACTTGCTCTGGGAATGTAATTAGCTTTCGCCCTAGATTCCGTCGCCTTGATGCTACCGATGATTTATTACGAATTTTGCGATATTTCCACTGGATTGTTGTAAATTGGCCCCAAAGTTTGCGACTTGGTTTGTTCCAGCCCCGAAAGGCTCAGGCCAAAAAAAGCAACACATTTAAATCGCAATAAAGTCGGCAAACGTGAAAACTCGCCACAGGATTTTCATGCATAACGTGAAAGGTTTGCCGATAATTCGTCGGAAGATATCCGGTAACGAGAGCACGTCCGACCTAATCAACTGCCTTGTCACATAATCCCTCGATGAAGGAGTTTACATTCGAATGGGATTACTTTGAGGTTTCGACCCGTCTTCAGACTACTTAAACTGGTCAAAGTTTAGCAGCGATTTAAGTTCGAAATGTAAAAAATGTTGTGCCAACGCCTGGTTTGTTTTCGGGTTCTTAGGCCAGCGTTTTTTTCTCATTGGCAAAGTTGATGATGATAAATTGTTTCCATCCATTGGAAGCATATTAGAATCATGCAAGATGCGAATATTGACATGTTGAGCCAGAGCGATAAGTTTCCAGCCAGAATTCGTTTTTTATCAGCCAGTTTCCTCGCCAGCCTCATTACATATTCTCGGTGGCTGCGGAATTCGGCGATATTTTCTCCTTCTCGCTTTTCCAGCGTTTTGGGGCTCCCGATCGGTGTTTGTTTCCATCCGTAATCGGAATACAAATTTTCACGTTTTGGCAAATGCGATTTTTCATTTTATTTTGTATCGTGCCGGTTTTCCGCAATGT